GTCACCTGTACACAAGCTGACATCAGATTTCTCTTTCTTGAGAGAGAGAAAAAAAAAATGCAGACAGAATTGCACGCGTGCTATCTCTCATTATTCTGTCTCTATATATTGACGGTAAACACTGCTCTTTTTGTTGCCCGTCTGCAAGAATTCACACAATCCGCTTTGACAGGCATGCTAGTATCCGAACCGCCTGCCAAATGTGTTCGAATTGCATGCGCTTTCTGATCAGATCTGCTCCAGAAATGCTTTTTTCATGTGAATCTGACACACATTACATTTTCATTTTGTCATTAACACGGCCAAATGTACTTATCACAACGCTGGATATCTGACTCATCCTCTACGTGACATATGTGTTATTTATGAAAATGATTTATTAACTCGATTTCTACAGCAGCCTGCGACAAATGCGTTGATTGCGGGTGCAAAGGTAGGTTTTGCAAAATCTATTTTTACAATGTCAACGTGCCCTGTTGTCATTTGAGTGATTGAAGTCACGTTTAAATTGGATCATTTTAAGCTGAAATGTTTCCAGGATAATATGAAAATGAGCAAATTAACGCTCAATGCTTTGTAACGTGTCCTCTGCTATAACAGAGCTGACCCCTAATATTTGTTCACTGAGCAGAGGGCTGAGTCTGAGTGAAGGCAAAGATATTCACAGAGACGTCCCTGCCTGCACTTGAGGCTCTGCCACAGGATATTGCGACTGCACTCTTTAAGAGAAGCAATAACAGCTCACATTTCATCTGAGACTGCATTTCTTAAAAGGCGTAACGTTGAGATAACCAACCTGTCCTTCCCCCAGCAGTGTCTGAGAAAAAAAAAAAGAGAGAGAGAGAGAGAGAGATAGAGTAAAGTACAGGACAATCTGAGGAAAATGCACTTTAGAATCAATTAGACCACAGAAAAAATAAAAAACAACAACAACAAAAACAACAATCAATTCATCAATTGATTAAACTCACTGTGTAAATCAATAGATTTAACTGCATTATTTGCCATGTCATTTAGCATTTCTTTTCAGAACTTGCCAATATAGAGAATTGTCCATGACTCAAAGCATAGAAATGAGAAATTATTCAAATGTGAAAAGGTTTCCGGGTTGCTATGTAAATGTTGGACCATTGGTGTTTGAACTTATTGCTTTGCATAAAAAAGGAACTTTGCTGTATTTTTTTTAGTGTTTAAAACAAAACAACAACCCCCCCCTCAAAAAAAATAAATAAATAAAATAAAGAAATGTGGTCTCTATCTTTCTTTCCTTTCACAGGAGTTATATTTTGTGAATAGCGCCTCACTTTGTGCCAAAGTGCACACATGCTTCTGTTGAATTTGCTCTTCAAGGCTTGAGTGTTTTCAATTCTGAGTTAAAAGAAAAAAAAAAATAATGACACACAAGTGCTGCAATATGGTTTATTAAAACATCTGCAAGTCATTTTTAAAAAAAAAGAAATTTGGAAAAATTGTGCTTTTATGTGCATCTGCATTTTGTATCTATTGCACATGGGGGACATCTGTGTGTTTGTCTGTTTGCAGCAGACTGGCTTTCTCTGAGATACAGCAGGAGAGGCAGACGTGGCGTTCCAAGATACTCCCCGAGCACCAGCAATTAATGATGACAATTTAAATTTTGATACGCGGGTCTTCGCCGGGGCAGTCAGGTTAGACAAGTTGAGGAAGCCACCTATCTAACAGATGCCACATGATATTAATGTACAAAGGCACGCTGCCTCTAACCTGGCAGCCACGGGGAATCAATTACCACACCGGCATTACTTTCTTCTGACAAATATGCTCTCACCGACCAGGTAGCAGAGCTAATGGCCTCCAAAGTATTTCTGTCAAAGACACAGCTCCTATTAATTATTCAGTCACCTGTGCTCCTATGCTGTGGTGCTACCTTACAATATTTACAGTGCTGGGAAAGGCCACTCTCCCCCTGGCTTACTGTCCCCAAAGCAGAGAGCTTCTTTTGCATGAGCCATAATTCCATCTGCTCCACTTCTACTGAGAGAGGGAAAGAGACAAGCTGCTTTCATCCCTTATCAAGAAACACTCTCTCGAGGTGCATGAGTGTAAACATGACTGAAGGCTGATGAAGGGTTTGCGTTGTCTTTAAGTCAATAATGAGGCAGGTAGGGTTTCATCGTTGTGCTGTAGTGGAGGCAGAAAGTCAGTGTTGTCAACGGCTATGGAGCACATGTTTTTTTTTTTGTTTTTTTTGTCAGTCTAGATGTGAAAGCATGCTAAATATAGTTGGTAATCATGTGTGCATAATGATGCATTACTAATGTGGCAAACGGGGCAAAAGAGGAGCACATTTTTAATTTAGAATTGGTATAAAAAAAAAGAAAGAAAAAAGAAGGTGCCGTCCAGGGAAAACCGTTGCAGCCAGCGTTAAACAAAGAGCACAATGGTGGCAAATCCAGCTGTTACCAGACAACCACTGGCCACCATGCTCTTACGGAGTTAAATCCCCTTTTTTCCGCCCACAGAGGGGGAGCAGGATGGTTGGCTCTGGAGGAGGAGGAGGAGGAGGAGGAGGGAGACGGAAGGGGGATGTTGCATTCATGTGGATGTGGGAAAATTTGTAGAAATGAGCTTCCATTTAAAAAACAGATCTACACACCGTTAATGTGGAAAAACATCATGTGTGAACCGGGAGTTTCAAGCACTGAACCTCGCTTTCTCAATCATTCTACTAAATTGACATTAGATTAATTAAAAATAATGTTTTTTTTTCACCTTGATAGTTACGTGTGTTGTATGTCATTGCAGGACAGGAGTGTGGAGGACCAAAACGAAGTGACAACCTGCATAAAGAAAAGGTTTCTCATTTTCAGGTTTCCTTATACACACTCCCTCTTTGCTACTGGATCACAACTTTAATTAAATACATAACTGCACAAGATGGACAGAAATATATGAACACAACAACATTATTTGATTGTTCTCCCATTCTATGTCGAATAATGGCCCATAATGAGGTCAGTGAGGTCACAACGCTCATCTCAAAGGCCTTGAATGGGGTTTAAGTGATGATACCAAAGTGGGAAAATGACTTCTTTATGGACCTGGCTATGTGCATGCCAATTATGTCTGGAGAAGGTCATCCTATTGGTTGGACATAAAAGCTGGACGTAGCCTTTAGCTCCATAAAATCACGCCAATGGAGAAGCGCTTTAAACCTGCGTCCTTTCTTACAGCTAGCGGGAAGGCAACTCTTCTGGAGCATTAAGAAGTCAGATTGTACAGAAGTCTATAAGAATACTACCCTACTTCTCATTCTATTTAATAATTTAGTAAACATTTTCCTAATGAGTTTATTGACTCAATCACTGATTTTGCATCTCCTTCAGTTGAACATGATGTCCTTTATGCAAATTATGGTCCCGTTTGAAGTAAAACAGATGATAAAGAAGGGTATAGCAAGGATAGAGGCCATGACAAACATTTAAATAGCCATGAACTTTTTTTGTTTTTAGGTGTTCTATGTGTGGGGCTGCTAGGTGGTGCAGTTGTGTAGCACTGTTGCCTCACAGCAAGAAGGTCGCGTTCGTGTCCTGGTAGGGGCATCGGGATCTTTCTGCGTGGAGTTTCTCCCCGTGGGTTCTCTCTGGGTTCTCTGGCTTCCTCCCACAAGTCCAAAAAGATGTTGAGGTTAATTGGTGATTCTAAATTGTCCATAGGTGTGCTTGGTTGTCTGTCTCAAAGTGTAGCCCTGTGATGGACTGGTGACCTGTCCACGGTGTCCCCTGCCTTCGCCCTAAATCAGCTGGGATAGACTCCAGCCCCCTGCGACCCTAGTGAGGATTAAGTGGTGTATAGATAATGGATGGATGTTGTATGTGTTTTGATTTATTTATACTGAAAGTTAACTGTAACAATTTGATCATCAAAAAATGTCTTGTTAGGCATTCAGTTGTATTGAAAGACACTTGAATGCCTCATTTCCACATAACCAGCCCTGTGTATTTATGCAAGTCAACATGAAGCTCATTCATTCTTATGGTAACCTGCATGCTTTCAATGTACAAAACTCCATCTCCTGCTTTTTATCAGTACATCATTTACCTAAAACATCCATGTGCAATAGTGTAAAACATTGTTTCTTCTGGTTCTTAGTCAGATCCACACATCGCTCTTCCCCAGCTCACCATCTCAATCAAATGTCCAAAAACACACACACAAAAAACAATTTGATGGAAACTCAACCAATGGCTGGTCTCTATGCAATCTATGGGCTGTCTCCTTAGTATTGTGACAAAGTTTAAAGCCAAAGACCAAACCATGAAAACAGCCTCAAGCCTAAAGCTCTCAAGTAAATGTACACCAAAAAGGGACAGACTTTTCTTCTCAAAAGGCAACCTTTTTGTGATTGATGGTTCAGGCCTTCTGATTGTGTATGTATGTGACTTTTTTTCTAGTTTTGTTATTTCTGAGCGATTTACAGCATTTTTCCCTCGAAGTGGTGAAAAAATAATAATAAAATCTAGCTAACCTCAAGCATACAAAAGCTACCACATGTTTTACGGATGTGTTCAAATTGTAGGAGAACCATGAATTCCCACATGATTTCCAAAGCACGACCTGACACCAACCAGTGCTTGTTATTGTCTCCCTTCTAACTTCAATAAAAATGCTCCTCAGAGTAGGCTGAGTAGTAGACCCCGGAACATGAATACACACAGTAATTACAGAAGCGTACCGTGATTATACCGGTATGTGCTGCTACACGTTCTCAGCAGGGGCGTGTTTATGTGAACGTTATGCGAGTGTTCGTGAGTTGAGGGAAGAGGGCTATTTTTTTTTTTTTTTTTTTTTTAACCCACGCTCCGTGAACGCAGCGTGAGCGGCTAACTGGGTCACGTGAGCCGCTCCGCTAAGAATGCAGTGACGTGGTGGAGCTCCGTCAGTGTAGCGGCGTCTGACAGGCAGCTTCCCCGGGCCAGCAGCTGCCCTGCCCGGCTCACACATCCGACGGGGGCTCGGTCCCGAGACGGAGCGGAGGAAAGATCCAGGAGGAGGAAAACAAGAAGGGGCGGACTGGAAAAACCGAAGCAGAGGAGGGTGTTTTTTTTTTTGGGAGGGGGGTTGGAGGTAGATGAGTAATTGTTTTTGTTTTCATCTTGGGGAGCATGTTTTGGCAGTGAGAGGTTATTGGGTTTTTTTTTTTTGTTGTTGTTGCTGCTTTTTTTTTTTAATTCTATTTTTCTCCTCTACTACTGTACATCAGCCTGCGGTGCATCGTGAAGTACCAGCCCGCACTCCTGCTGCTCCTTCGCCGCTGTTCTGCCATCCCTTCCAGCGGATCACTCTCTGGATAAACGTGCGTGGATGCTGTGATGTTTCTTTTTCATTTTCTTTTTTTTTTTTTTTTAAATACCACCTCAGGAGAGCGGGATGAACTTGGATAAGATAAGAGAACAAGAGTGAAACAGAGGGGGGGAAGAAAAAAAAAGGAAAAAAAATCCATGGGAAGTAGTGAGGTAGAGAGGAGCTGTGCATAGCGGACACAAGGAGCAGGAGAGGGAGGAGAGGAGGAGTCGCAGCAGCAGCAGCAGGAGGAGAAACCAAAAAAAAAAAAAAAGCTGCAGGTTTGTTGAGCCTGTGGGGATGAGGACGCCTTCAAAAAAAGGTGTGATTAGAGGAGGAAACGGAGGCATTTAAAGGTTTTGTTTCCAGTCCCGGTGATGGCGGGTGAAGGCACCGGGGCTCGCACACTCCGTCGGCCGACCGCAGCCCCGTCAGCAGCCGCAGCAGCAGCATGAGGAGGAGGAGGTACGCACTGCACGTCTCATCAGTCCTCCACATCCTCATTATTCATTTAGCCTTCCCCGCCCTCCTCTCCCCTCCATTACATCCACCTTTTTTTCCCAGCCGCCTTGACTGGGATCCATCTAGCCATCAATCAGTTCCTCTCCATGTACCTTTTGTCCCAACATCTCCTCTCCATCAAACACTTTCTGAGCCCCCAGTGGCTCCGCTAAACGTTGCAGTGACAGACAGGAGCCCTCCCTCCACCAGGCAGATGTTGAAGGCAGGTGCACCACTGCAAAATTAACAAAAGCCTACTTTGATTTTTACTATCACTCCACTCCCTAAGGAGGGATGGAGGTGATGGCCTCCATTCCTCGTCCTTCTCCCAGAACAGAGGCATTTTCACTTCTGTGTGGGATCAGTTTCATTAAATAAAGGTCAGTAGTCCATACAGTATTAGTTTACATAAATTCAAGTTTAGGAAACCCCTCCGTGGACCTGCCAAGAGGCGAGGCCAGGGAGTTTCCATTGATCCAGTTCAATTAACTGGGCTTTTTATCCACTTCATCACGTCAAGCTGCCTGAGCTGTTTGGCACAGAGAACTGTGCATACTTGGGCATATCTGCTAAATGCTGAGATGGACGTAAAAAAAAGAAAAAAAAAAGAATATGCAGCTAACCTCACCATCTGGGTTTTCACTCTGCCCACTAGACTATGAAACTTTAATAGGGTCTAATTTTCAAACCACCTCATAATTTATTGCTGTGGCGTCTGAACCGACGTCCTCCAGATTACGGCCGGGCTTTTATTAACGAAGTAAAACAGAGCATACTGCAAGAATTAAAGCCAGTAGAGAAAGTTGGCAGCAGCACAAGAGAAGATCTAGATATCACTCACTCTGAGTGGAGAAAAAAAAAATCACTGTCATATAATATTTACTCCAGCTAATGTGGCTCGGAGCTGCCAGAGCTGCCTTCTGGAGGTCTCTTTTATTACTGAGTCCGGTTTTAGGAGGCTGCTCCATCCTTTCTTTACAACCCTTTTAAAAGACAAATAAAACCAAACATTGTGCCATACCTAAACATTATATAGCTTTGTGCATTAAAGGGTCACTTTACACAAATGACAAAAAAAAAACACACATATTTCTCAGATTTGTGCTTGCAATATAGCTCAGTTGGGTTGCATTTGTGGAACTCATAACATTGAAATACTAGATGTGTTTGTACTATTATGAATTATTCTTCCCTTTTTTTTCTTCCTTTTTTGATAAACTGATTGTCATCTAGTCCACAAGATGTCAGAAAACTGGACATTAAAGTTTCCCTAAAGCCAAGGTGATGTGTTCAAATATCTTATTTTGCCAAATAAACTGTTCAAAAGTCGCAGTTGTTCAGCTTAGTGTCACATTAGACAAAGAATAGACAAGTCTAACATCTGCTCAGTGTCCTCAATCTGCAAGCTAAAACTAGGCTATTGCGTTTAAACATGTGATATAAACTCATAAAAATAATTGATTATAAATTATTGTTGACCAGTCAATTATTTAATTAATGGTTTCAACTCTAAATATTCAACAGCAAAATCTTTATGAAGAAACATTTCATGTTATTCTCGGTCAACACATGACCATCGCTGGAAATAATTTTTATTGGAAAAAACAAAAACAAAACAGCTCCTTAGTTTGCAAAGATGGCTACCTGGAAACCAGGGCAAATAAAACTCAACCGTCATCTCGTCTAGATACCACACAAGTTTTTTTTTTTTTTGTGATTTGGGTGAACTGACCCTTTAAGGATCAGATTTGGTCATGTTGTGTGATGAAGGGGCTCGAGTGGCCTGGCCCACATCTGACCAGCCTCAAGTGATGAAGGGTAAAAAAAAAAAAAAAAACACAGCTGGCCATCCAGTGTCACTCATCTGCTCTGCAACGCTTAGCGAGAACCCTCCCTATCCCTGCGGCCCTATCCTAGTTGAGTCACATATGCACCAAACAACATTTTCAATGGTTTGCTTCACTTCTGCACCACCTAAAACATTGTCTCATTTCTTGGACAGAAAGTTTGTTCCAATGAAAACTGTGCTGTGTAAAGTTTCCAAAGAAACTAGAGCACTTTTTATTGCTTTTATAAAGATGATTTTTTTTTTTCTTTTTTGTCTTCATAAGCAGTTTTAAGGCTTTAATCCCATTTTATTCTTTGCGGCCGCACTCAAGCACCTGCACACAGAACAATCATACCACAAGAATGATGTTTTTGAGTGGCAAAGAGACATTTTTTTAGTTCCACAATGTTCCTTTAAGTACGCAGGGATGGACTACTTAGGCCACGAGGAAAACAGTATTAAATCAGAATGCAATGTGATCTGTTGAGCGGTTGTTATATTTAGAAACTGGACCACTATAACACAATAAATCATTGTAACTGCATGGTATTTAATGTTATTTTTGTGTGTTTGTGCGTGTGTGTGTGTGTTCTCAAATTTAGCAGCACTTTGTCTAATGCTTTAGTATAATTTGGTTAGGGAACCAACTAAAAGCTTTTACCATTGTAAGTTAATTTATTGATTGTTTTCTTAATTTGTTGTTTTCTTTTTTTGTTTAGTTTTTTTTGTTTAGTCCATTAAAAGTCTGAAAAAATGTCCATCAGTGTTTCCCAAAACCCAAGATGACATTTATCTTATTCAGTCTACTACCCGGAAATCAAGATATTCAATTTACACAGTTGAGAAAACAAAACAAAACAAAACAAAAATTCAAATGTAGAAACTGACTCTCTTTTCATGAACAAAAAACACTCAACCCGATTTGTCGCTTATCAGAATTGCTGGCGATAAATGTACTAATCGATCAATCCATGCCTTTCCTCAAAGCCTCTTTTTCACGCCACTGCAGTGCTAGCAGTATGCAACACCGCCTACTGTTAGCTTAGATATAAAGGTCGCTAACGTCCACAGAAGACAGGATAGCTGAACAGGACAATGACCCACATCTGGGGGAAAACTAACGCTTACTTTGATTTATAAATGTTTTTCTATATCCCGAGTCAGCTGTTGAGAGTGCTTGATTAGTTACCAAGCTAGCAGAGACGTCGAATAGATGCTAAAAGTAATACGTACATACTTCTTTGTGGCTTAAGTGGTTAAAGTAAGAAATGGTTCAAATTGTGCAATATGATAACTAAACTGTTCAGCTAGCTAATGTAACAGAAACATGGCTTAAATAGATCAATATGTCAAATAAGTAGAGAACCTGAACATTAGATTATCACTAAGAAGACATGCTGAACGTTTTCGAGCTAGTAGTTGAAATAGTTGGCTAAAGTATTGAGGAAATGCTAGTTGGCTATGTGTATTGATATGTGGTTTAAATAAAAGTAATGTAGAAACAGCTGAAATGTGAAGCTGCATAATGTTCGACGTTGCTAAAAGTAATGCCTAAATAGTTGAAACTTGGAGCAGGAATTGAAGCAGTAAGTACATACCTAAGTGTTGTGGAACATGCTTGAAAAAAGCTAATGGTAACCAGACTAAACGTTAGTAGTTTAATTGTGTAAAGTAAATATCATAATATTAAATATTCATATTCAATAAAAGCCAGGTTGTTTTTCTCGACAGATATTATTCCCAAAGTTTAAAAAAAAAAGAATCTGTTTACACGACCACTGTTTTGTAAAATGTCTCTGTACACATGAGAACGCAAAAACAACTACAAGCTGCAGTATGCTGTGGACCATTTAATACTGGCCGCAGCATACCGAGGCTTTTGCATGATGGTGGTGCATCAAGTTGGTATGGGTATGTCCAAATCAATTTGTCACATCATTGTTTCCCAGACTCTCTGTTTTACATGTCCATAGGAATACACATGAACCATAGCTGTTAAAAATTTGCATTTCAGAAGCCACATGTAAACATCTCCATCTGAGTGACCTAAAATGCATGTGGACCAGAAACTAAAATATAATGTAGATGAAGCAGTTAGGATTCGATGGGGCTGTAGAGGTATGTCTGACAGGAAAACTGCCGTCTCATATAATAGAATTATTTATAAAATAGTACAATTTGTTGAAGACTAATAGCCCTGCTCCTCGCTTAAAAGACAAAGCGGGGTTGATCAAACAACTCACTGAGTCAGACAGAGAGATAGTGAAACTCAGGAAGTGAACGAGCAACAACACCGCCACCTCTTAACTCGATTCAACTTCTTTTCTTGGCAGACTTGGTGAACTCTTTATTGCAATGAGATGGTAAACAACAGTCGGAAAATTACAGGTTTCTGAGAAGGAATGCAGCCGCAGAGGAGCGAAGAAAGTGATCAGGATGAGGAGGGATTAAGATGAGAGGCGTGGACTCACCGACAGTCTCCTCTCTTTTAGAGTGTGTGTTCTGAACCAAGCCCGGGACTGAATCCCCTGGAAGACCCTGTTTAAGATGAGCTCAGCAGGACCCCAAAGAGAACAAAAGCACATGTACAATTCTTAAAAGTCACTGCTGTGCAGGCCAACTAGTGAAACTAATTCAGTGTGGATTTTGCTAACATGAGAAAGAGAGAGAGATGTGGGAGATTGATTCATGATGAAACCTGTTTTGCAAGACTGTTTGGGACTGGTATTTGGCTCACAGCTCGCGTACTAATGGTGTCACTTGATAACAATATCAAACAACAGAAAGTTTTCATTTGCCAGCAGAAGTTTGGACCCAGAGCACAAAACAGTATAACCATTAGGTGATGATTAAAAAATAAATAAATTAAAAAAACGTAAATCATTGATTTCGCTGTCAGCTGCAACGTTTTTGATACCAGAGATACCTGAGCATACGGCTGCTGCTTCACTTGCCAAGTAACATGGTAAGTTCTGAAAAACCAGTGATGGAGAATATATTAAGATCCATTACTTAAAATACTTCAGCTACTCTACTGAGGTAAAGGTATTGTCAGCGAAATATACTCATCATAGTACTAAAATTATGAGGAGCAAAAGTATTCAGCAGGCATTACTACCTGATGTAGTGAAGAACATGCATTATTCATGTAGTTTAATTCAGTCATAATACTGCAGTCTAATTAAATAGTGCTGCCTTGAAGCAGTTAGAGCTGAAACCATTAGTCAGTATAAGTTAACCAACAAAAAAAACTATTTGCTTTTGTGACAACTGATTAATCATTGAATCACTTTTCAAGCAACTTTTGCCGCTTTCATCGACAACTTTTAGAGTTTTCTATTCGTATTCGCCTCATATATCAGTAAAATGAATATCTTTTGGGCTTTAAACTGTAAGCTGAATAGAGGAAGTGAGTTTATTCATAATTTTTTTGTATTATTTTCTGTCATTTTATTGACAAAACAGTTCATTGGTTCAATAGTATAGAAAGTGAGGAATAATTTAACTCTAGAACAACTGACATATTGTCTTTCTTAAAGTTTCATTTGGCCATCTTCAGGTGTTTTTCAGTACCCTGAGCTTCACCCTCTGATAAAGGATGTGTCAAAACGCTACTTGATCATTAAGTTAAATCATACATATAGTGACAGTTTCAGGAGCAGTTATTAGATAAAATGGAAGCTTCAGTCAGCCACGTCTTTTTCAGTGAAGTATGAAAATTGATAGGGTTTTAGAATATAAGTTGGATAGAAAAAGAGATTTTGTTTGTGATTTTTTACTACATTTTATACACAAACAATTCAAAGATGAACTAAAAAAATTAAGTTCAGTTACAGTTCAATTTGCTCGTTTGCAGGGATTTTTAAGTCGCCGTAGCTTTACCGTGATCTTTTCATTAAATGAATTCATAAATGTAGTGAGCAGTGGCTCTAAACAGCTCATGAATGACAGATGTTTCTTTTCTGAGGAAAACGTGCCACTATAACAAAGCGCACAGTTTTATTAAATAAAGGTCATATTCTCATCGACATCAACAAAGGAGGCAAAATCCGGCTAGGTCGCACATGTCGCTATGGGAACAAAGGAAGCCAACAGTGGAGAACGGTGTGTGAACCTTGGAAGTTTATTTCCTTTTGTTGATTCTGCTTTTTCCTCCACATGTGAGGCTGATGTGGTGACAGAGACGACACCATAACGTATGCCCAGTATGTCGCCACCGTGTCACTCCCCCAGTCTATGTTCTGATTATTGACCGCTGCAGAATCGCTGGGGCTTTAATTAGTGCTAGTGTAACTAATTGGCTTGCATAGAAGTGACATTGATGGGAGGCAAGAAAATGAATTAATGAGGAGAGGCATTGGCAGATTAAATGCTGCTGCTAAAAAGTAAAAATGGAGTCTGGTCTTTCAGGGAAATTGGCATTTGCATTGAAGACAACAAAACAAAGCCATTCATGTCGCCTGCACGTGAGCGAGTGTGTGGGTGGGTGTTGGCGTGTGTGTGTGTGTGTGTGTATGTGTGTGGGCATCTATGTACGAGTGTGTATCTCCATGTACATGTGCAGCCATGTGTTTATGTGCCTCTGTGTGCAGTCTTCATCAGAGCTCATGGAACTAGATGTTCATTTAGTTGACAGCAGAAATCTCTCAAACGCTGGATATGCTTCGATGTAAAGTATGTTAACCTTTAAAACAAAACCGGCCCTGGCCCCTCTCATTCTCCTGTAATTGCTTGCACTGGGTAAGCACACTCGCCGGAAAAGGTTATCGTGTTCCTTGTCAGTTGTCATGATGAATGAGCAAACATAGCAGGAAATGAAAAGTGGAAGCTTAGAAAATCTACCCAAGCCAGCATGTAGCATTTGCACCAAATAATGCTCAGTTGTTCAGTATCTGCAAATTATTAAACAGCGAGCAAACAAATAAACAAGAGAGGCAATGCAAGCAGTCAGTGAATTAACACACTCAGGAAGGAAGGATGGATTCTACACTGCTGCTGCATTAATATTCACTAGAGTCTAGTACAACCTCCAAGTTTCTGCTGGCATATTCTGTTTTCTCCAGTGATGTGTGTCTGCTGCTAGTGTGTGTGTGTGTGTGTGTGTGTGTGTTTGTGTGACAGAGTTAACATGTGCGGCATTGATGATGTATGTGTCCACTGTGGATATAATTATGTGTGACGTATACATGCATCTTTTCTGTGCATCTATACACACACAAACGATTACGTGTGCATTAGATTTGTTGTGTATGTCAGTAAGCCTGGTCTGCATTATAGTTTGTGTTACTGTGTGTGTCTGTTCACACACAAAAAGATTATGTGTGCAGTGTTCTGTGTGTACATCATTACGTGCAATGCACAGTAAATGTTGTGCTTGTGCTGACTGATTCTTTGCCTTGATGACTCAGTGAATCAGTGTGTGCAGACGTGATGGCCTTCGTGTGTCTCTTGGTGCTCAACTTCCACGTGGGCAACAGATGCAAACGTTTACATTTTGTCCACATTTTTGCATGTTTGCGTGTCTGCATGTTTACTTGTATGTCCTGTATTCATGCCTGTTTGTGTAAGAAGGTCGAGCAGCCTGGGTGATCTCAGCGAGACAGTAGGCAGCATTGATAAGCTGAAGGTGGAAGGTGAATGGCAGGTGAAGGCTGTTATCACCAGAGGCTGGCTCAGGATTCGACACCACTGCCTGCTGGACCCTGAAAACTTATTCTGACAGATGCATCTCCTCCCGAGCTGTTGACGCGCGGTGGGGGGCTGATGACACTTGCTCGACCAAGCGGTTCAGAGTAGTGTTAGCCGACGTCACGTTGAGCAAACCTGCAATTTATACTTCTGCTTCAGGCACTAAGCTGCATAATGACATGCAAGTGGGAACCCTCATCTGACCAAATCCAACACCAGACAACCATAGTTTCCTCATGGAAGTTTATCTACTATGCTCTGTTCTACCCTATTTTAAATATTCTGAACTGTGAGATGATTTTGTGTGATGAATAAATTGTTCTGATCATCACTGTCACTCTGGGAAGTAGTAGTTGTCTGTTTTGTTAACTGTGATATAGAATTATTTAGATAAAGCATGTTTTGCTGTATCTCAGTAACACACCTCGGAGCATCTGTTTTTTTTTTAAATCGTACAGATGTAATGTATGCACAGTATTTTTACAGCAGCAGTTTTCTCTTCCGCCTCCAATGTGCTCACAACAATAACTTTCTTCAAATAGCCACATCCCCAGAATCTGCTGTGTTTCTTGTCCCTGTCCAATCAAAGATGCTACAATGCTGTCATATTGATTCAGCTTGTCTCTTTCAAACTGTTAAGTAAGCTTACCAAAAGAGCCATTTACCATACTGGGCACTGCATCCACAGAAAGCTCTAATTGGGTCTTTTGCATCTGGATGAAATTAATTCAGAATTATTCTGATTGTGTCAAAACAAATCATAAATAAAATGATTAAGAATTACTCTTGGTTTTTTTTCTCTCTCACAAGTAGAATAAAAAACACATCTGCAACTCAGACAATTGACATGTGGCTCAGTGCCAGTGGAAAGGAGGTGCTTTTGGAGCGCTGCCAATACTGTTTCTCAGTTTTTCTTTTTTTCTCTTTTCAGATTAGAGAGAGCAAACGCAGAGGAGGTGACCCTTATCATATCCTGAAGGAGACGAGACATAGAGCATGACCCTGTGTTTGTCTACAGTGCCAAAGAAGAGGCAAGGAGAAGCCTCCCTGGCCAGAGAATCGTCGCCTTCCTAGCTCCGCCAGGAGCCCTTTTAACTTGCAGCTTGGAGCTGCACTGGGGGGCTCAAACGTTCCCCTGACTCCACCAGGAGGCTCTCTCCAACCCATCTGCCAGCTCAGATAACCCTCTGATTGTTGGCAACCACATGTTTGAGGTGACTGTATGTGACCGCCACTGCCCATTCTCGAGCAGCAGCAGCCTCCTGCGACCTCGATCTGCACCATGCAGTGGAGACGGCGGCACTGCTGTCCCATCAAGATGACCTGGACCGTCAAACGCTCGCTGTTTCGGACCCATGTGACTGGCCTCCTCTCGCTGGCTCTGCTTTTCACTCTCTTCTTATTTTTCAGCCACCAGGACTGGCTGCCAGGACGCAGTGGGCCTCGCGAAAACCCGCTGGCCTACGCCGTCAGGGGCCTCCGCAGTCCCAAGGGAGAAACCAACCAGAGCAGCTCCCTGAGGAGCCTGTGGAGGGAGACGGGGTATGTACCACCAAAGCCTCTGCTCAACCTCAGCTCCCAGCAGGTGGAGGGTGCAGCAGGAGAGGCAGCAGGAGGAATGGGAGGAGGATCCAGGACTGGTGTAATGGGGCTGGGGGACTCCATGAGCACTAACAACAGTTTACAGAAAGAGATGGGTGTAGGAGGGAAGCTTAGCGCTCAGCCCTACCGCTACATCCTGAACGAGCCCTTCAAGTGCAGGGACAGCACGCCCTTCCTCATCCTCCTCATTGCTGCAGAACCAGGACAGGCTGATGCCCGCAACGCAATCCGCCAGACATGGGGAAATGAGAGTGTAGCAATGGGCTTGGGGTTCGTCCGTCTTTTTCTGCTGGGCACAGGAAAGAGCTCAGACATCTTCCTTCAGAGCAGCATAGAGGAGGAGAGCCGTGTTTATCACGATATCATCCAACAGGACTATCGGGACACTTACTACAACCTGACCGTCAAAACCCTGATGGGTATGAACTGGGTGGCCACCTATTGCCCACATGCCTCCTATGTAATGAAGACAGACAGTGACATGTTTGTCAATACAGAGTATCTCATCCAGAAGCTGCTGAAACCTGAGATGCCTCCAAAGCAGAGGTACTTCACCGGCTACCTGATGAGGGGCTATGCACCGAACCGAAACAAAGACAGCAAGTGGTATATGCCACCAGAGCTGTATCCAAGCGAGCGCTACCCGATATTCTGCTCAGGCACAGGGTACGTGTTCTCAGGGGACATGGCTGAGCTGATCTATCAGGCCTCACTCAGCATACGGAGGCTTCACCTGGAGGACGTCTACGTGGGGATCTGCCTGGCGAAGCTGCGCATTGACCCAGCACCCCCTCCCAATGAGTTCCTCTTCAACCATTGGCGAGTATCTTACTCCAGTTGTAAGTACAGCCACCTGATCACATCCCATCAGTTCCATCCTAATGAACTCATCAAGTACTGGAACCACTTGCAGAGCAACAAGCACAACGCCTGTATCAACATAGCCAAGGAAAAGAACGGCAGGTATCGACACCGAAAATTCCATGGAGAGAGGCCTCCATGATGGACCCTGTGACTACAACCTGCCTCAAAAAAGGGAAGCTGGTCCACTGTAACTACTGCCGGTGGAGGGCATGTTGAACTCAGCACTATACACTATATGGGGAAAAGCACATTGTTTTTGGTATTGTGTACAGTCAATGATCCAAACTATTTTTTTAATTTAAAAAAATGTGAAGTATTGTAAACCTATTGAGCTATTTCTAAAAGGGAGAATGGGGGACATGTTTGTGTGATGTGGAGCATGCACAAAAAGAGCTGCAGCTCAACAGTGGTGTTTATGATAATTCAGGTGCCAACAGAACGGTGAGAATTTTGGTAGTACAGTATGTCGCACTCTAGAAATATGAAAAAAAAAAATAATTAAAAATTAAGACACACTTGTGTTTACACAGACAAAGGGAAATGTCCATGTAATATGTTGAAAAGTTACACTACCTAAATATGAATGAATGATATGAATCTTTGACGTTGACCAGTTATGCTGCCCTGTTTCTCAGTGTTTACTTTACAGATCTATCAAAGAACACTACTCTAAAGAGGTTTATCTGTCATATACTGTATTTTATTTTCAAAAAGTCTACATAAAAGCACCCAGAATCACATCTGAGAAGACTGAGATTGTATTTTTTAAAGCTTTACATTGAGTATGACTCTGCACTTGAGCAAATGTGCAATGAATCAAATAACAATTAAATGTACTGAAATCATTTTGTTTGTGACTTTGTGTGTGTGTGTGTGTGTGTTGTGTGGGATCCTTCATGACATATCCACTACAACAGCTCACCATTGTTAAAAAATGTATACATTCAGTGTGCAGCACATAATCGGCCTGTCGATGTAATATTACAGTTTAGAAATACATTTTTACATCATTCAAGTTGACAAGTTTTTGAATTACAGTCTGACCAAGTAAAGTCATTGGATTTCAGTTCAGCAAGTTACAGTAACATAGTAAGTAGAAAGTAAAGTAGACCCCTGATTGCAGTTTTTATTTTCCTCTTTGTTTTCATGTATTTCAACACTGAACTTGTTGACAAGATGATAAGTTTACCTTGATTATTGTAAAAAAGAATAATAAAAAAGTTATTTAATCTTCAAGTGAAAATAGATTTTCACAAGTAATATTAATTTAAAAAAAAAATAATAAAAAAAATAAATAAATAAAAAAAATAATAATAATAACTAAGTGACTTACCCAATTCAACACGAGTGCAGCCAATTGGTGCTTGAAGTCACTCAGTTACTTAAATAGAAATTAAAAATTGTAATCAAATCAAAGACCAGACCTCAAGCCAATAGAAAATTTGTGAGTGGATTAAAGAGCTGTTCACTCACGATCTCTGTGCAGCCTGAAGTACAACAGTTGTAATGGAGTGAAACTGCAGTGTCTCGATGTGCAAGGCTGATCCACACGGGCTCAATGCTGTAACTGTAGCCAAAGGTGCATCTACTAAATACTGACCTGAAGTGGATTATGCAGTCACTTGTTTTACCTTGTATATTTATTCAAGAATGTATGTTACCATGTAGAAATCTGTTTTCACTTTGACATGGAATAGTCTTTGTAACTTTCTGTCAAAAAAATAATTATATTGATCAGGATTCAATGTTGGAAAGCAAAAATGGAAAAACAAACAAAAAAAAAAACTTCCGACGAGGTTTTATAGGTACTGTATCAATGTAAGTGCATGGATCCTACTAATGCTGAAACACGTGCAAACATAATTAAAACAGTCATACCCTACTTATGACTACAAAACAATAGCAGTGACTTTAATTTATCTTTTGGGCTTCGAAGACGGTTGTTACAGCATACAGTCTAAAAACACAACTGTAAACAAACCAGACAAAAAAAATTGCTTTTTTGTTACAAACAAAACCAGTAAACCTCATTAAAAGGTATTATCGTATTCAGTCGACCTTGGAGAAATGCTTTAACTTCCAAGTAGAAAAGTAAAACATTTAGAGAAGTTCAGGTCAAGCAGAAACAAGTGAGGCTGAAGGATGAGAAATGAATTAAACATTTAGTGCCTTCAGGGAATATAAAATATTCTGCATCAAAACACCTGAGTTAAGATTATGATAGAAAATGAATGCATAAGTATGGAAGTCTACAGTGGACTTTATGTAAATGTTGTTTTTTACTTTAACAGGGAAAAATGTAAGTCCACCATAGCGTTATCATTTTCTGCAAACACATGCATTATTTGTGCAAAAATTAGGGAAACGCATTCATACAAATTAAATTTTCATTTTCACATATGGGTATTGTAGGACAATATTAAAATGAGAAAGAAATGGGCATTTGACCTTGCTCTACAGTGGATAATATTCAAATACAATAATCGATATAAAGTCGATATGACTCTACTCAACAGATTTAAATAGGCCCTTAACATTTCATTTTTAAAGACGTCAGCTGCTCCTCAGTGGATGATATTAAAATGCAATAAGCAAAAACAATGCCCTTGTTCTATTTGATTGCACACTGTAGGGGCTGGGGATTATTAAGTATAAATAAAATGTTATATACCCTTTTCATTCTTAACTTAATATGGTCAAACAACACGTTTATATGAATCCGTCCATCCAGTATCTATACACCGCTTAATCCTCACTAGAGTTGCGGGGGGCTGGTGCCTAACCCAGCTGACTTAGGGTGAAGGCAGGGGACACCCTGGACAGGTCACCAGTCTATCACAGGGCTACACTTAGAGACAGACAACCAAGCACATCCACATTCACACCTACGGACAATTTAGAATCACCAATTAACTTCAACATGTTTTTGGAATGTGGGAGGAAGCCGGAGAACCCAGAGAGAACCCACGCTGCACGGGGAGAACATGCAAACTCCACGCAGAAAGATCCTAAAGTCCTCACCGGGACGCGAACCGGGGACCTTGTAGCTGCAAGACAATGGTGCTAACCCCTTTATATGAATGAAAATAGTAATTCTGTTAGTTTATTTTCATTTTGATTTTTAATGAGCTGACGACTGCATATGTTAAAGATTATAACGCTGTTGTGGAATTACGGTTTATTTTTTAAGATTGTTTCAGTAACATCTGCGATTGGCTTCTATACATGTGATTTTGAATGACTGCTAGTGTTATGGAACTGAACTTTTAGCTTTTAGTGAAAATAAATGTGTATTTATGGGTGTGTGTCGTGTGTGTGTGTTGGTGTGGAGGCAGGCAATAAATAAACACACACTCCAGTGCTCGGGGCCACCAAGAAAAAATATAATTGGGCGATGACTTGAAATAGCCGATATCAGATTAAGGTAATCTAATTGAGCTAATGGAGAGACGGTTTTGCTGCACTTTTTCCCGCAGACTTCACTACACACCTGTCAGTCTGGTTTTAATCACCTATACGTTTGAGTGATTCTGTTCAGGGCGCTGCAGAATGACTAAAGTTCACACAATGGTATATTTTAAGCCGCTAATCACTAAGCAGAAGAGTCTTTAGGGAGGAGGAAGCTGAA